TGTATATTCAGCCTCTAGTTTATTATAAACATTTACAAATGTACATAAAAGTAGAGATAGTAATATAGTGAACTTCCATACATATATCATCTAGATTTAATAATTTTATTTTGTCGTATAGTGGTTAGTACTCTGCGTTGTGTCATATTTAATTTAAAGTTTGGTATTTTCATGTATATCATAGCATCACAATATGTCATCCCTATATGTTGTTTCAAGATGCATCTCAATATTTATAAAGATGTTTTCTTACATGTCCAAATATCATTATCATACTGAATACAATTTTTAAATCCTTAATGTTATCCAATACCCAATCCATATTCAAATGTCCCTAAAAATATCCCAAAATGTCTTTGTACCATTGGCTTGTTTTAGTCAGAATCTAAAGAAAGGGAAATGTTGCATTAAGTCATATCTTTTAATTATCTTTGTTTAAACATTTTATTGATGTTTAACATACAGACAGGAAAGCAATCAATTAAAAGTCTGCAGCTCAAATAGAACACACCCATGTCACCAGCTACTATCAGATCAATAGTCAGACCTGCACCTCAAAAGTCTCTGAGCACCCCTGCTTTCAGACACTGCCCCACCCACCAAGGATAACTATGATCCTAACCTCCAATAGCATCAACTGTCTTATAGCTTTTTCAAATTTATGTAAATGAAATCTCATTTTATGTAAATGAAAATGTGTCTGGCTTGTCTTGGTCAGCCTCCTGTGTGGAGATCCCTGCATGGTTTCTGTAGGAGACTCTCATTCTTTTCTCCATATGGCTGCATAGTCCCTGACCAGCCCACCCATTGCAGGTGCCCATTCTTGGCTGTGTGTGACAAATAAGTTCCACCCACTAATCTGCCTCCTGACCCTCCAAATGTGGCCTCCAGGGAAGTAGGACCTATTCTCCCTTTGTAAATGGATACCTAAAGGGCTGAGTCAACATTCAAATCTGTGGTTGGTCCAGGAGATCCCGCGTCTCTGGCTTTCCACTGTCTCTCACCTGGAGATCCTTACCTTAATGACACCTGCAGAGACACTTATTCCAAATTAGGGTCACATGCTGAGGTTCTGGGTGGACAGTTGAGCGCACTGCAGGTGGTTAGGGACTCATTCAACTCAAGGCCCCAAAACTTAATCTAAACCTGAAAGCGTGGTTCTTCCCAGAGGACCAGGTCCCTCACAGAGCACAGTGTCAAGGCCAAATCCTCTAGCACCTGCTGAGTGCCAGGCTGTGCTCCGTGGAACACTGTTGGGCGGTGGGTGAGTAAACTCAGCTTTGGTCCTGAGGCAGTTTGCAAGCGATGAGGCTGGGAGGGAGGGAAGGCCAACCTGTGGCACTGGTTCTTCACCAGGTTGGTTTTGTCCCCCAGTGGCACTTGGCAGTCTTTGGGGATGTTTTCCATTATCATATTGAAAGGTGGGTAGAGGGCAGAATGTTACTAACTACCTTACAATGCACAGGACAGCCCCCACCACAAGGAGTTATTGGGCCCAAACATCAATAGTATCACTGTTGAGAATCCCTGGCATCAGAAAAAAATATATATAGAATCTTTTAGGATTTTAATAAAAAATTATAAGGCACTTACTGCCCCCAGGGGGTGATTTCCAGGGAGCCTGGATTCTCAGAATTCGAGTGTGATTCACCACCTTTGAGCCTATCTAAAACAGCATTAGAAGTCTCTCAGTCAACCTCTTCTTGAGACCAATGAGGAAACAGGGACCACGAAGGACAATGCTTTTATTAGCAATAGGGCCTTCTTTTTAGATGCTGGGATATGTCACACACAGCAGGGTTTTGTGAGTTGGTAGTCACTCCACCCCTGGGAGACAGATACTCTGTTATCTGTATCTCATGCATGGTGCTCATAAGCCTCAGGGTGGTAAGTAGCCTGCCCAAAGTCCCAGAGCTCAGAAAGGCAAACTGGGTGCAAATGCAGTCTTTCCAGATCTTTCTGTCACATGCGGAACCTGCAAGTAAGTTAAGTGCTTGCTGGGCCTGCGAAGGAGTGATTCTTCCTAGTACAGTGTTCATCCCATGGCCGCACCCTGCCTGCCCTTCACTATCCACAGGCTCCCCTCTTCCTGACTGAGTCCCCTAGGTTTATTTTCAATCCTCACCTGACACCCCATGTTTTTCATTGATTTTTTTTTTCTTTTAAGAGACAGAGAAAGGGGAAAGAGAGAGAGAGAAACTTCACTGGACTGCCTCCCATACATGCCCTGGGGTCAAACCCACAACTTATATTTGTATCCTGACTGGGAATTGAACTCCCAACCTTTTGGTATACAGGAGGACGTATCAACCAACTGAGTCACCTGGCCAGGGCAGTAAGTAAACTAAGTTAAAGGTTCCTATTTTGGGGGTTCATGGGCCATTAGAATTTAGATGATAGATGATAGCTAAATAAATGTAAATAGATTATAAATGATAGATAGATAGATAGATAGATAGATAGATAGATAGATAGATAGATGATAGATAGATGATAGAGATAATGGATAGGCAGACATCTGCACAGGCTAACCAACTTTCTATCCTGGCAAATACAGATATTAACAAAATCAATGATCATCTTTCATCATGGTCATTTCATAAAATGAAGCAATGCCCAACAAGGAAGGAAGAACAGAATCTCTGAGTAAAAATAGTCTTTTAAATTAAATGAATCCAACATTATGAAAAACAACAGTGGCCATATTTCCCTGCTGTATGCTGAGTCTGTATTCAATTACTTACCTACGGCACTCATCTTCAGGAAGAAGTAGTTTACTGTAGAAAGAAGCCCCAAAGTGAAAAACTCAGACATTATCAGCATTGAAGGACCCTCCCTAGTCATCCAGACCAGCGTGCTCTGTGCAAGGAGTGCTGAGTCCAAAGACTATGGCTGGAGTCCCAGTACAGCCCCAGAGAAAGTGGGGGGCTTCAGCCTTGCCCCTGAACCTCTATGGGCCTCAGTCTCTGCTGTTATAAACTGGGAATACATTAATGAGCTCCTCCCAGGGATAAAGAGAGTGTGTGAGGTGCTTCCAGCAAGGCCAGGCAGTCCCTCCACCTCCCTCAAAGACCAGGAACCCACAGGGATCTCACCTCCAATTGCCCACTTCCTGTTCATGACGGCAGTGGCCACCTCACATCCCAAGGGTAATCCAGCCTTGTGGTAATTTGCCTCACATCCCAAGGGTAGCTCAGGGGAGCAGTCCTTCCTCCCTCAGCCCCGCTCTCCTACGGCGGAGAATGGCCAGATTCCCCACTAGAACCTCTGCAGCGTCTGAGCAGCAAGCCCTTCTGCCCTGGGCCTTCCCCGGGAAATGGTGGAAATGGCGACCCAGAGAAAACCCCCATGAACATGTCAGACTGCCCAGCTAAGGAACCAGGTGGCGGTGACCCACACAGGGTTCCCGGCTAATATGTCCTCATAGCCTGTGACCCCTTTTCTGCCTCCAGACCACGGGGGAAGAGCTCACTTTAAAACGACTGCTTAGCCTAGTTCAGTGGTCGGCAAACTCATTAGTCAACAGAGCCAAATATCAACAGTACAATGGTTGAAATTTCTTTGGAGAGCCAAATTTTTAAAACTTAAACTTCTTCTAATGCCACTTCTTCAAAATAGACTCGCTCAGGCCATGGTATTTTGTGGAAGAGCCACACTCAAGGGGCCAAAGAGCTGCTCGTGTGGCTCAAAAGCAGCAGTTTGCCAACCACATGTCTAAGGGCACAGTGCTGTCTGGGATCCTCTGGAGATAATGCAAAGAGGAGTGAGGACGATCACTCGGCGATGACCTCGGATGCCCGAACTCTGCTGGCCTCCTTCCTCCCCCACAGAGAGTATCTAATACGGGAGAGTGTCTAAAATCATCTCTATTGACTTGCAAACATAGAGGCATTTGCAGCCAGCGTGGCTCTGGGGGATTTGGAAGGTGAGTGTTGCCTCTCAGCAGCTGGCATTGCTCTGTTCAGTGACCACCTGCCTCCCCATGGGACTGGGGGACGAGAGAGCTCTGGTGAGTGTGAGGTACACCGATGAGCTCTAAGTGAGAAATTGGAATAGGCAGTTGGGCTCAATCTAGACCCTTATGAGCCTAAAAACAGGAAGGTGGGAATCTGATATGACTCACGGGGGCGATGGGAAAAGGGGTCATTTAGATATTAAAGGTCACACCCAACCTGAGGCCGCACTGTCCTGTGCTGACCAAGCACATAAAAGCCCAGGCTGCACTAAAAGATGGGCCCCAGCCCATTCGTGGCCCGTGGTGTAAGAGAAGGGCAGACTGGTTTAATCCAGCCTTGTGGTAATTTGCCTCACCTCTCTAAGCCTTGGCTTTCTCATCTGTAAAACAGGATGCTCACCTCACAGGGGTATTGTGAGGTTCCGGTTTAATGAAAGTGTTTAGTGCAGTGTCTAGCTCCAGCAGACACTACACCTGTGCGTGCACACGCACACAGTTATGTATTAAGTATCACTACTCTAATGGACAAACGATACCCTTTATGGAGTGCTTGCAATATGCAAGACATTGTTCCAATGCATTGCATGTCTGAATTCATTGAAAACCTTTTGAAAATCCTACAAGTGGTAGCATTATCCCATTTTATAGATAAGAAAACTGAGGTGCAGAGACATTAAGTAACTGACTCAAGATTCCAGAGCTAGAAAGCTATTGAGTCTGAAAGTCAGATGCCAATCTGTAAACTGTGGATGTTGTTTGTTTAATGGGTGCTGCTGTTCCCAGTTTGGAACACTAAAAACTTGACTAGATGATGTCATATTTTTTATCTCTTACAAGAAGAACCCACACCAGCTTGAGTGGTTTCTCTTGTATGTGGCTCTCATCTGATTTTCCTTTGGCTTCAGCACAAAAGCCCTGCCTGACCCTCCACCCAGGCCAGGCTGGAGGCGGATGCTGAGCGCAGGAAGGTGTGTGAGGAGCCCTTTGGCTTTGCCCTTGCTTCTAACTGCTGCAGGTCCCACATGCCAGGCCCTGAGGAGCTGTGATGATGGAGACTCTCCCCAAAGCCCTGGAGGTCGACGAGAAGTCTCCTGAGTCCAGGGACCTGCTGCCCAGCCAGACTGCCAGCTCCCTATGCATCAGCTCCCGAAGCGAATCTGTCTGGACCGAAGCCCCCAGGAGTAACTGGGAGATCTACCGCAAGCCCATCATCATCATGTCTGTGGGCGGGGCCATCCTCCTCTTCGGCGTGGCCATCACCTGCCTTGCCTACACCCTGCATCTGGGGCAGACGAGCCTGAAGGTCCTTAAGATGACGGGGCCTGCATTCCTGTCCCTGGGACTCATGATGATGGTGTGTGGGCTGGTGTGGGTGCCCATCATCAAGAAGAAACAGAAACAGAGGCAGAAGTCCATGTTCTTCCAGAGCATCATGTCCTTCTTCTTAAATCGCTGATGGGTGGCCTCCCCTGCTGGCCTCCCCTTGCCCTGCATCTCAACCAGGAGAAGGAGAGCTGGTGACCAACATCCAACATCCCATCGCCTTGGTGGCGGGATTTGCCATAAAAGTGATCAGGGCAAGCCCACTTCCAGGATCTGTGGGAAAGAGAGAGCTCAGGACTCCGTGCTCCGTGAAGTTGGGGAGCATTGCTGGATGCATCTCATTTAGTGTCTTATCACCGACGCTCCCCTTGATCCTGCCCGCAGCCATCCCCTTTCATGGCTCTCATTCCCTGTTATGCCTTCAGTCATTCAGGAGCCACTCAGCTAACTCTCTCTGCCAAGTGCTATGCATGTTGGGAAATTCCTTGGGGTAGGCTATGCCCCATGGACAGCCTCATGTTTACATAGCTGAGTGCCTGAGCGAGATTCACATCTGCATCCTTCTAGAATAAAACTGACCAACAGTGATCCTTCAGAGAGGAGAGGGAGGGCTGACTTCTGACCCATGGGTTTGCCAGTCCGGCTTGTGGGTGAGATATTGACTTGCATTTCAAGAGACCAGACAAGTCACAAATATCAAACATTCCAAAGAGTGAACCGAGAAGGGGCTGGGGAAGCCACGACCCCCCCTGGACAAGCTGGGTCAGCCAGCCAAGGAAGTCATGTCTCAGTTACATAGTATTTACAGAGTCGGTGGGGTATGCTAGGGGTGTCACAGTTTCTCCTTGGTCTTCTAACTCCTTCTCCTTGACTATTCTCCCCTCTGAGTTTGCCAACTAGCCAAGGACAAGTGCATGTGGCCCTAACATCCTCTTTGTCCCTACCCTTGATTCTAGAACAGCAATGATGAGCTTCAGAGGGATTCTATAAGATTGCTCTCTCCTTCACCGCCATTTAGAATCAAAACTGAGAGGACAGAGTTCCACATTTGAATGGCTTGTAGATTTCCAGAGGTGAAATTCAGTTTCAAAAATCCGTCTCCCTGCCCCCACCCACCAAACAAACATATATTATGGGCCAACCGCTGGGCTGTGAGCAGACAGACACGTTCCTGCTCTCGTCTTCTTCCCAAAATGCGAGATACAGCCCGGCCAGCAGGCACTGGGCTGTGCACTTGATGGAGAAAGGTGGCTGGGTGTGGCAGCAGGACTTGAGAGAGGACATAGAAGTCACTGGAGTCCCCATCACTCAATCTGGGAACAAAAGGAAAATGAGAGCTAGCAAAGAGGAGGAAGGAGAGGCATCTGGGGCAGCAGGAACTGTCTGTGCAAGCCGAATGGGGGAGGGAGAGAACATTATAGAAACTCTTCTAACCTCCCAAATATTACACTTCACCCCCTCTTGTGGCTGCTTCTCCCCCAAGGTCAGCATTTCCTGGGCTGCACCGAGGGCCTCTGGGGGGTTTCCTGAGGGCCTGCCAAACAGAGCACCCATGTGGAAGGTGGTCCCAAGGCCGGAGACAGATGAGGAGAGTGACAGAGAGGAGGGGTACCTGAGACCGGTTGCCACCAAGCCGCCCTAAGTCAGGCCCGGGCCAGTGGAAAGCATCTGATAAGGAGCTGGGGGAGAGATGTGTCCTGCCCTGCACGCACCCCTGGCTTGAGCTGACTCCCTTCACCTCTTAGTCTTCTGGTCACCATGGCAACCTTTTTCTCAACAGCCCTCCAGGGATCTCCATCTGGTTCCCTCGGCATCATGGGAAATTCCTTAAAGGCAGGTATCTGTGACATGAGGGCATCCCAAACCCTTCCTCCCTAAGGAGCCAGAGTTCAGGGAGCTGGTGGCCTTTGAACTTCACCCAGAATGGTCATGTCGTTCAATCGGTGTGGCCGAGTCACCCCTGCACACAGGGGGTCAAGGATCAACCCTGGGGTATTGCAAGTGCTATGTCACTAACTGTAGTTCCGGTGCCCCCAGTGACCAGCTTGCAGATCATTTCCTTTCTCTGACTTGAAGGCAGGTTTCGTATCAGCCCTGTGATGTCATTCCTACATTCCTTGATGCTTCCTCCAAGGGGAGCAAAATGGTGTGGTCTCCCAGTTAGCACAATGGAAATCCACATGCCCTATGTCTTGATTCATCTGCCCAAAAGCTGGTCATCTGGGCAGGACTGTGGGAGGGGCCCCAGATGGATGTCACTACCACCCTGTCTTAGTGGAAGGAAGTTAGGGGGCAGCCAGGACTCTAGAAAGTATCCAAGCTCTGGATTCCCCTTGCAGGCTGCAGTGATACTTGCCTACATTCCCTGCTCCTCAAGCTAGTTTTCAGACAGGAGAGTTAGGAAAGCTCTGAGGAGAGCTCCCCAAGCTTCATGCAACCCCCTTGAGGACTCCTATGTGATTGTGGGCCTAGGAGCACACCAGCTTCGCACTAAAGGGTTTTGCCAAAGCCTCACCCTGTGGAAGCCTGAGGTGTGGGTGTGCCTGGCCTGTGGATGCAGCCCAGGTCAGATGCCACGTCTCTGACAAAAGCTCCACCACATGACTGCGTTAGCGCCCGAGGGTCAGGGAAGGGCCAGCATCTCCACTCAGCCAGCTGGATTGCATTATCCCCCATCACTATTCTCTCTGGAGAGTGCAATTGAATCTGAGGCCTAAGGAATTGATGTCATGTTGAATTGTATTCAACTTGCTGCTTACCAGTGAATTCTACTTCTTCTATTGAACGGTGTCTGCTGTTTCATTCTGCTCCACCAGAATTCCCGGGACTGGATCCACTCATTCATTCCTCTAAGCTGTCCCTCTCATCACCACATGTCTGCTCCCCCATTCGGGAGCTGCCCAGGAGAAAGGGGGTGGGGTGGGTCTCAGGCATGGTTCCTCGGAGCCTCACAGGAGCTGATGACCCCACTCTCCATCCTATCCGTCCAGGAGGGAGGCCACAATAGATGCAGAAAAGGCAGCTTCCAAATGAGTCAGTGGTCCAGGGCTGGGGGATAGGGTGAAGGAAGGGGAGAAGGCAGCACCCAGGCCAGCCTGTCACTGTCCCCAGGAACTAGCACTTGAACTAGCAATTCAAGTCCCGGGCCCTCCATAGCCTCCTTCTTCCTCCTAAGCCCTCCTTTCTCCCGGCCCAGCCTTTCTGTCCCTCTAGGTCTGCATCCTGACTCTCTTCACAGGGTTCCCACCAGATTCCTGTATTCTTGACTTTCTGCTTGTCCCAGCTTGCTCTGTCCTCTAAGGGAAAGCAAGAGGGTGGTGCTAGGTGTGCACCGACAAGCGAGCAATGTGTTATTCCTGCTTCCATTCCTGCAGCACCGTCCGTCGTGACGCCCCACCCGCCTCCCCTGCACACCCATCCATTGTCACTATCTACACCCTCCACCAACAGAGGCCCCTGCAAAACTAACCCCCGAGCCCCTTACTTGTGGGCCAGGGAGCTGCCTGAGCATGGCTGCTGGGTGACACCTCTGAGTGGGGAAGGTGACAGAAAAGGAGTAGTGGGGAAGGCGGTGTGGGGGCTGTGAGAAGGGGCAGGAGGAGAGAGGTTAGAGGCACCTGGCAGAGACATTCTGCAATGGAGTCAGAAAAACAGAGGAGGGGCCCAGCTGGAAAGAATACACATTCCGAGGGTGTTGACCGCATGCGAGGGGCTGCTCTAAGCACTCTATGAACTCACTTAATCCTTTCCAAATGCCCGGGCCTGGTACTACTGCTATCATTACACCTTAACCGGTGAGTAAGTGAGGCACAGGGACCCTGAGCTAGGACAACACTCAGCCAGGACTGAATCCAGGCAGCCTGGCTCCACAGGCCACACCCACAGCCCCACCCAGTCAGCCTCCAAAGGCCTCTGAGGGGAAGCAGAAGTGCCAGGGTCATGGCAGGGCAGGAGGAGTAAGAATGGAGCTGGGGTTGGGGGACAGGCTGGGAGGATGAAGCAATGGGGGGCCCATAACACCATGGGAAAGGGGCCAGGAGCCAGGGAGACACAGGAGGCAGCAGCCAGGCAGACCCAGCATTCCGAGGGGCCAGCACCCAGCTGGGGGCATTTGCACAGGTTTCATTTCCCCCCACATCCAGTCCTTTTAAGCACATTTTACAGAGAAACAACCACGGCTTAGAAAACTAAGGAGCTTGTCTCAGGTCTCACAGCCCATAAGCCACCCATCAGAGATTTAGGCTCAAAGCTGCTCTGAAGTCCCATGTTCTCATCCCTGGAACTCCTGGTTTTCTGCCACGTGAATGGTCAAAGGCAGGAATGGGGGTCTAACCACCAGCATAAGTGATACTGTCAGAGCAGGGGACCTTGGTCCAGCTCTTGTCCCACAGCCCAGACTCTTCTGGTGACCAGCAGGCGGCTTTGGAACTGCCTGGCCCTAGCTACTGTGCCTTTCCATCACATTGTAGGCCAAGTCCATAACCCCTCAGAAGTTCAAGGTCACTTCCCGTGGGAGTACCCAGAACCAGACAGCGGTCAAGACCGAGTATTATTTCTCAAGGGCTTGGAGCTGCTAGACTCCAAGTCCTCCTGCAGGGAGAAGTGCTGTGGGACATGGGTCCTGTTCCCATTTTTTCAAAAGACCCTCCCTGCCCCATTCAAGAAGAGGAGAGGGGTCACTGATGAGCCTTGGCCCTGGCCTCCTAGACTCTGCTACACCAGGTCATCACATAGCCAGGTCCTACCTCCTGCCCCATGGGGACCCTTAGCCTGTGCCCTCAGCTCTCACAGGGAGCGGCCAGCTCCTGTCTGAGGTTTCCATCAACGCAGACTGCACACCTCTCCAGGGGCCACACCGGCCACCCAGCCCCTGGCACACGTCTGTCCGGAGACCCTGCCATCGAGAAGCAGCAGTGTGGTCTGTCCTTTCCTGGACGTGTCTCCCCGCGGATCCTTCCTTAGACCCCTCTCCCCTCCCTGCTCTCCTGCTGCAAATGGCTCCTTCAGGACCAGGGCTCCAGTTATTCTGCGCGCTGGTGACTCCCCGCTGATCCTCAGTGTCTAGATGCCTGTTAGAAAACGTGTCAGCTTCCTGTGGCTGCTGTAAAAAATATCATCAACAACGTCGTCGTT